AAAAAAAAAAAAAAAAAAAAAAAAAAAAAAAAAAAAAAAAAAAAAAAAAAAAAAAAAACTACAATCAATTATTTAATTAGTATTTAAAAATAAATAATAATTATTATATTAAATTAGCAATAATTTATTAAAATATATTTTTTAACGCTCCTTACCATCATTTAACTAATTAAATCATTTTAATTAGTTAAATTAATTTATTAATATATAATATAATTAATTATTAAATTTGATTTTTTTATTACTTCTACTCACATTACATAAGATTATAAGAATTAATTTGTTTGGGTCAAATTAACATTTTTGTACCTAATTAAACATAAATATCTTTAATAATATAACATATTATTTTTTAATATTATTTGTTAAATTATTAAATTATTTTAATCTAAAAAATTCTTATTAAATAATGAATCCAATTTGGAGAGGGTTTAAACCATTTATTAATATATATATATAAATTAAATAATAAAAAATAGAAAATTAAATAAATTTAAAATATATTTGGGTTGATTAAATAAATTTTTTATTTATTTAAACTCGATTAATTCAAATGAGTTAATAGTCCAACCCTAAATTACAAGGTCGGTTCGGGTTGATCAAATTTTTCGAACATCCTTATTTTTAAATAATAAGAAAATTAAATTTTAAAATCTATATTAAACGGCTTAAAGTATAAGACACATTGTGACGTCAGCAATTATTATTATTATTATTATTATTAATTATTCTTTTGTAAAATAAAAATTAAAGAAAAAAACAGTCCCCATTATTAGATAATTATTAATATGACGTCAGCAGAGGGCGGCACTATATTTTGATTCTATTTTTAGGTGTGGAAAAAGCAAGGGACTCCTTTGCTTTGGTCCAAATAAGTCAAAGATTTGCTGTTCTGGTCAAACTTTTGACCAAATCACTTGAATTTTTGTGCAAGAGAAGCATCATGGCTTGCTTTTGGAGAAATAATAGACTAAAAAACACCTTTTTTTTCCAAATCTTTGTGCAATATCAAGCCCATTTTGATTTCTCAACTAATATGGTCAATGTTGTTTGCTTACTAGCTCGGTTCGAGAGTTGATTTGTGAGACCCCACATCAATTGAAGAGAGAAATGAGTGCTAGTGAAAACACTGAGCTTTGAAGAATGATGGATTGTGAGATCCCACGTCGATTGGAGAGTGAAACTAAGCATGTAGAAATCTCTCCTTAGTAGACGTGTTTTAAAAATCAGAAGAGAAAGCTCGAAAGAGAAAACCCAAAAAGGACAATATTTGTTAATAGTTGACTTGGGTTGTTACACAAATATTGCATATTTTATCATAGTTATCGATGCACACGAACATAGCTCAAAAAACCCAAATGTTCGAATCTCTTAACCCGTCTTCTTATGCTCTGAAAGAAGCCCAAACAAGAATCTCGAGGAGCATAATTGTATTGGGTAGTGATTCTTCGAATCAATCATAGATTCCCGATTCCTGTTGTTTGACTTCCACTCTAGTTGACCCATTAGTATCTTGGAGTTGGTGGTTCGACCTCCTACCCCTATTAAGTTTCGAACTAAAGAAATTATATTGTCTTAACTATTGAGTTGAAGGGTATATAAAATTATATTATATATGATTAATTATTTCAATAAATAATAGTTTTATTATTTGACCAAGAAAGTTGTTGGTTTTGGGCTCGTAGGCCCACATATAAGAGGAATTTGGGCTTGATTATTGATTATGGGCTGGGCTTTGTAGGCCCATACATAATAGTGGGTTGGGCTTTGTAGGCCCATACATAATTGGTTATCTTGCAGTTGATCGGTGGCTGCATCGGCGAACGGCGGTCGTAAAATTCAATTGTTATCTCTTCCTCTGTTTCTGACTATTTCCGTCGATCACAAGCCATTGCCAGTTTCTCCTCTTTCTTTCGTCGGCGTTCTTTCTGATCGTTCTGAGTGTGAATTTTATCTCGTCGGTTACCTTGCTGTAACATTTGGAGAGTATATTTCATCCGAGGTTTGGGATTGCCTTGTGTGTAAAAGCATCAGAGTGTGGTTTTATCAGTTTAGGTTTATATTTGTATGTTCCTAGCTCTGGATATTGAAACTATAAAATTCAGCTATTCTTCAACTTGGTGCTGAATTGATTACGACCAAGACAACCAGGGAAGCTTTATAATCTTGTGGAGAAGCTTAGAAAATGGTCAGTAACTTTTTTTTTTTTTTGTTCTGCTTGCATCCATGAAATGTTAGGGTTTCAGCTCTTTCTTTTGTATGCTGATTTAGTTTAGTCTCTTGTTTTTTCATGTAATTCAAATTGACTTATGTTGACATTATGAATTTGAGAATATTCTATTAAATATGTAGCTCAATTCTTTATCAGCTGCTAATTCTGTGTTGCTATTCGTTCGTTTTCGAATTTTAAAGTTACTGAAAGGATATCTTGTATTCAAGAATTTTCTGGATCAGCTTATAATTCATTATTGGTGTAGGGGAACTTGATCTTTTTTCTCTCTTGCATGTAATTCTTTGGAATGAACAAGTTGTGAATCGCTGTATTTGTTTCTACTTCTTGTAATGCTATTGTTGTTATCTTTTTATTCATTTTGCTATGATGCTTCTTCCTTCAACTGTATGTTAGAGTCTATCGTGAAAACGTGAATTATCTTGCTTATTGATGATCATATTTTTTCTGGGTTTTGTAGGCTACTTTAGCCGATTCTTTTCTAGCAGATCTTGATGAACTCTCTGATGAAGACAATTTTCCGGTGAGCAAATGCATTTTACCTTCCTATCGGGAAAGTAAATTCCATAATCATGTTAGTAGTAGTGTGAACCAATCAATAGTTACTGAATGATTACAGGATGAGGAAGATGTTGATGCTGAAAATATGGAAGAGGATATTGATGGAGACCTTGCCGACCTAGAAAGCCTTAATTATGATGATCTTGATAATGTCTCAAAATTGCAGAAATCACAGAGATACAGTGATATAATGCAGGTTAGTTCACATGAAAGTTTCCCTTATCACTTCGGCATACCTAGTGGCTTTAACGGAAAGGGTTTGGTAAAAGGCGAGTAAATACATTGGAACTCTGTTTTGTCTATTATGCTTACCTTTTGTTGACTGATAAGTATGGGTTACTATTTAATCATTGGACTTTTTTCTCTGTGATAATTCATTGCTTTTAAATAATGCTATTGGAATTTTGATGCATTTTCTAATTTACTATTGAAAACCATGTTGTTCCTTGAACCAAAACTCGTCTCCTTGAAAGGTTAATTTTTATTGCTCATTACATGTTGGATTTCATGATGCTTTATCTCCAGATCATTAAGTTTCTGCAGACTGATAAGTTATAGGTTATCATATAATTATTTGGATTTTACAGAAAGTGGAAGATGCATTACAGAAGGATTCTAATATCTCAAATCAAGGATTAGTATTGGAAGATGATCCTGAGTACCAACTGATTGTGGAGTGTAATGCTTTGTCGGTGGATATTGAGAATGAAATTATTATTATTCACAATTTTATACGTGATAAATATCGATTGAAATTTCCAGAGCTTGAATCACTTGTGCACCACCCAATCGATTATGCTCGAGTTGTTAAGAAGATTGGCAATGAAATGGATTTGACTCTTGTAGACTTAGAAGGGCTTTTACCCTCTGCTGTCATTATGGTTGTCTCAGTTACAGCATCTACCACAAGTGGCAAGCCACTTCCAGAGGAAATTCTCCAGAAAACAATTGATGCATGTGACCGGGCTCTTGCTTTAGATTCAGCAAAGAAAATGGTTCTTAACTTTGTTGAAAGTAGAATGGGGTATATTGCACCAAATCTTTCAGCCATAGTTGGAAGTGCTGTTGCAGCAAAACTAATGGGAACTGCTGGTGGGCTTGCTTCTTTAGCTAAGATGCCTGCTTGCAATGTCCAGCTTCTTGGTGCGAAGAAAAAGAACCTTGCTGGGTTTTCCACAGCAACTTCACAGTTTCGGTTAGGTTACATTGAGCAAACAGAGATATTCCAATCAACACCTCCCCATTTGAAGATGCGTGCTTGTCGACTTGTATCTGCAAAATCAACACTTGCAGCACGAGTTGACTCCACCAGGGGCGATCCTACTGGGAAGACTGGAAGAGTTTTTAAAGATGAGATCCTTAAGAAAATTGAGAAGTGGCAAGAACCTCCACCAGCTAAACAACCAAAACCTCTTCCGGTCCCTGATTCTGAACCCAAAAAGAAGAGAGGTGGCCGTCGACTAAGGAAGATGAAGGAAAGGTACTGATATTTTTTTCCATCTCTCTAACAATCAAAGGTTTAATTGTTTCACTTTTCGGTTGATCATGGATCAATATGACTTCCTTTGTAGATATGCAACAACAGAGATGAGGAAGCTAGCCAACAGGATGCAGTTTGGGGTGCCTGAAGAGAGTTCTTTAGGCAAGGCTTTCGTTCATTTTTATAATAATCTGGATTGGTTAAATTTGTATTCTTGCTTATGCTTCATTCCATTTACATTAGTATAAGATGCAATGCTGTGCTGTTCGATAAGCTTGAGTTGCCAAGTTGTTTGTCTTGTGAACCAGAAAACAGTCATAATTGCAAGTAATACTACTATAACCATCTTGGGTCTTTCCTCTTTCAGGAATATTGGCATGCCAAAAGTAGTTGTATTTTCATCTGTATTTAGAAATTTGTTCTGGATGGAATAAGTAATTATTTGAAGCATTCTCCAATAAGATTCTGAATAAAGATTTCATTCTCTTCATCCTTTCATACAACAGGAGATGGATTAGGGGAAGGGTATGGAATGCTTGGTCAGGCTGGGAGTGGCAAGCTGCGTGTGTCAGCTGCTCAGAGCAAGCTTGCCGCAAAAGTTGTTAAGAAGTAAGTCAAGTCATTGAGCTGATATTAATATTTTCATACCCCTGGAAAATAGAAAATGAAAAATAGAAGTAGATGAGAAAGAGGAGATACTTGCAGCCTAAAATCTGCCCGTTTATCTGTTTTTGTTGACTTATTTTCTCAATTTACTTTTAGGTTCAAGGAAAAACGTTATGGAAGCAGTGGTGCTACGTCTGGCCTGACGTCCAGTTTAGCATTTACACCTGTACAAGTCAGTATTTCTTGCCTTCCTCACCAGTTCCTCCTATGTTATCTAATGTTCGCCTAGAAAGTAATTGTTCTTTTTTTTCATGATACTGCCTGGATACTTAATGTCGGGGTTGTGAGAATTTCATATTTTCGTTGCAGGGGATTGAGCTGTCGAATCCTCAGGCTCATATGAATCAACTAGGCAGTGGAACTCAAAGCACCTACTTTTCTGAAACGGGAACATTTTCAAAAATCAGGAAAAACTAAGTCATTATACAATCATGCATCCTGCTTCATGTTCGTGCTGTAGCCCTACATAGATATGCCTTACGATGACGCTTTGTAGTGCCCTGTTAAGCGAAAGGCACAGGATTTTTTTTTTTGTTTCTATAAGACGAAGGTTATTATTTCCCCTTGTTTTGATTATCTTTCATCATTTTTGGGATTTAAATGACCACTTAAAAGTGTTAGTCTTTTGGCAGGACTTGATATTATAGTGGTCCGCCTTACACTTTACCTGGTGGTTTTATCTTTTAGTGGCCCGCCTTACACTTTAAGAAGTTAGTCTCTTAATTATTGCCATCAAATTATTGTTAGTACTTCATCAAAATCTTCTGATTTCCTTAAGGTGAAAATCGTCAAAACCTGCACATCCCAGTTCACCCCTGAGGAAGTTTAAGATATTGACTTTGTACAAAGTTTAAGTTAAAAGTTCATACACTGTAGTCTTTGATTAGAAGCCCACATCAAGCATCCAAGATATGCCCGTCTCTTAATGTATTTTTCATTTCATCAAGGAAGGACAGGGTGCTTTGATTCCTCCGTAGCTGTCAGATCGCATTGATTTTTGGGTGGTTTAAAAAGGTGGTAGGTTCTATTGCAACAGAAGCTTCTGGCCTTGTGTAATTTATTATTTTTAAATTTTCTTTGACAACACCGATCTGGTAGTTGCAGATCAATTCAACTTCTTTATGATGCTATTAAATGTTGTAACTTACAAAAGTTTCATTCTTACAATATTATAAAACTGATATTTCATCTCCATGCAGTTGGTAAGCTCATGGGAGTGAGTAGCCTTTGAGAATTTGGCATCCTTCAAGAAGATTCTAGGAAGTCAAATTTAAAGCTGGACTAGGATCTCGTAGACAGAGAATCCTTCATTTTAGACGGCTCGAATAAAGCTCTCCTGTATTTCAGTATGTATTCATGTTGGAGTTTTGCTTCTCTATTTAACTATCGACCAGCATCTTTGTCTTTGATGTTCAAAACTTGAAAGCATATTCGCATCGCCATCCCCACGTGAGATGTTTCTTGCATTGTCATTGGCACATCTTTCTAGATAAAGTAATTGCCCTGTCTTTGATTTGTCTAGTGGGATCCAGTTAGTGCATCACTGACGGTGATTTTTTTACTTGCCACATAAACCAAATAAGCCAGCACATTTATTTTCATATACACTGAAAGGGAAAGGATCTTTCTTTTCTTTTCTTTTTTTCAAAAAAATTATAAAAAAACAAGATAGCGGCACAAAGACAAACATCTTACTTCTCTTCCCATCCCATGTCTTACGTAGGTGTACCTCACTAATCATTATGGTATACAAGGCCACAATACCCTTTTTTTTGTAACTTCAAATTTTTGTTGAAAGAATCCTAGTGGATAAGTAGGAAATAGCAAAAAATACATTTATTTGCACTCTGGTGGTATAACTTTGTATCTAGATGTATCTTTACAATAGGAGTAGAACATGAGCTTCCTCCTTGCCCAATCCATCGCCTCTATCTGCTGCTGTGATAGCTTGATAAATTCTGGCCGCTCCAGAGTATCTGGGCTGGAGACATTGGTTTTAGAACCTGAAGGAGCAGTGGCTGTCGGAGTTGTCATACTGCCATTGATTTCCATTTCTTCAAAAGAAGCTACATAGGGTGCATACTTGTAGTCAACTGGGTATTTGCCTCCATGAGTTGCCCATTCTGAACCATCCCATATTGTGACAAAAACTGACATTGGCTTTGATGGGTAGAAAGCTGCAGAATTTCGTAGCTCTCTTACTGGAATATTATCCACCAGAAACCTGCTTGCATTTCGAGGCACTTTTTAGGAAACATTGTGATTGATCCAATAAGTAAAGCAAAGACCTATTTTTGGGTTTATTTTTGTGACTGAATTTCATGCACTTACACTGTATGATAATTGTTCCAAATGATGGTGTAATCATGGTACTTCAAGCTGGGATCAAACCACAGGTAGAATTTCTCTTCTCTTCCAGTCTTGACACTTCCATTGGCATAGATATTTGTTTGAATAACCCAATCTTTTCTCTTGTCATGTCCAAGTAGCTCGATGTCTATCTCGTCGTGAGAATGGGGATAAACATCTGCATTCGACAACTGAACGCGGCGTTCATCTCGTTAGCTATGCATCAAACTGGTAAGCCAAACCGAGAACAGTAGAGAGAAAAAAAGAACTTACATAAAAAGCCACCACAACCCCTGAAGTGAGACCTGATGGAAGCTTAATTGAAGCACTGAAGAATCCATAATGATATTTGTTTCTGGAGACCAGACCAGCACCTCCAAAGATGAAGAGAGAAAAAGTTATAAATGAAAGTGAAGTCAGACTAAAAGAAAAGTTAAGATCCAAAGGTGATTTACCAGAAACTTTGTCGAGAGTGAGATTGACAGAGGACCCATTGTTCATCAACTGCATATTTGAAGCCCCAAACAATTTAGCAAAGCATTGGTCAATCAAGACACGAGGAACGAGATCTGTCAAACGTGGGACGTTTGGAGGCGTGTAATATCTCGTAAATCTGCCACGAGAAGGGACAACAAACAACATACACAAAAAGATGAAGCTCAAAAGGCGCAATTCCATTACATCTCTGGAAATCTCCATCGTTAAACAACCCAGATGCGCAAAGAGATGACTACAATTCAGCTTTATACTGTAAGTTTTTCTTAGAGAAGAAACTTTCTTAGTTGTTTAATAGCTGGCTGATGGCTCGTCCCTTGTTTAATATCTGTTTTTGAGCAAAAAGTTCAGGGATTTGTATGCTACAAGGATCAAAATTGTCATGTTCATCTGATTTTAAGAACCTTGGCACTGCTTGTGGGGCTGTCTGAAAGGTGGGGCGATTGAGGAGGACATTTACCAAACTATTCTGGTTTGATTTCCTGCCAGAAAGAACAGTTCATGAACCAATATTGGTTCACTACTGGTTTTAGTATTGGACACTGTTATGGGCCACAAGAAGTAAGCCTACCTAACCAATTCTTTATTCTTATTAGTGTCAAATTGGAGGTGATTAGACCTGATTAGACTTTTAGTAGACATAATAACGTGCTTTTGCCACTGATTTTGTAGCTGGGATCATGAGTTGTGCGATTTGGAGGTTGAAATTGCATCAAACCAATCATTTGATTAAACAAATTCAAACATATAATTATTCAACTTTTTTAAAGAAGGGTTCTTTGATTCTGTCCGTTGATTGATTTAGCTTTCATTTCTTATTGTAGGTAAGAAGTTGTTTATATCTGGGTCGAGACGAACCACCTGAGATCGTAAAAGATCGAAATTGCTATTTTGGTGTTTCTTCATTCGCCAGAGATGCCATAGCTGGCTTTGAAAAAGAGAGAGTTTGATGTGATTTGAATACAACATTTGACATATAGCCTATCGCAAGTTGTGCAACAAAACAAGGCTATGATATTCATTCCCCTATATACCTAGAGTGTAGCAAATTATTCATAATTGTAACTTCTGCTAGTAGGATCAAATCTCTTGAAATTGTTATTATCATGTTGTAGGAAAAATGTACTGAAGCTCGAAGTCAATTAAGGTCAACTTGAGTCGTCACAAGGAACACCCAAAGTGTTGGGACGGACCCTGGCTAAATCAAGTACTTTTAGCTGATTTCTCATAGAGGACTGAAGATCAATCCATGCACGAAATCTTTTTTTTTTTTAATGTAGTTAACTGATATTACTATAAATAGATCGAACAAAACTTAATTAAGATCCACATATGGCCAATGTTAATGTAAAGCATCATAGTGCTCTTGATACTCAAAATAACTAGTAATAATCGTACTAGTGCGAGATCGTATACAAGTTAGTTCGAGTTTTAACTCTCAACTAAATATCTAAATTTATATCTGTATAGACGTTCTTATGATAATTTTTCATTAGACTAAGTATTTTTAGTTGGCTTTGATTCACAATTTTAAAGAATTTGTTAGGTTTGAATTTATGTAGCTAGCATTCTTAGGTAAGCAATTTTGGTATGGCTTCTTAACTTTTAGTTACATAAATTTATAAACCAAACACTTCCTTGAAATTTGTGCATATTTATTTTCTGTCCATGTCCATGCAGCGACCCCTATTTTATTTGTACATTTTTTTTTAAAAAAAAATAAATTATTTTTAAAAATTTAGGGTGGATTGTATTGCTACTCAAACGAACTAAATAGAATTTATAATTCAAACTAAATCGATCTATTGGGTTTAGAATTGTTCAATTTTTAATAAATTATTTTAAAAATTCATACTTATTCATATCATAAAATTCATAATAACTAAAATATTATAAAATTTAAATATCAAACATAAATTCTCGCAATGCATTTCAATTGCACATATTAAAACGAATCCGATTTTTCAGCTACTTAAAAATCTCAAAAATCTCAACACGAAAGATCATGGTCCCATTCAAAACACGAAGGTAATTCAAACCCATTAAAATTTCGGGATTTAATCTGCCCCGAACGATTTAATTTGGTAGGTAAAATGATCACTAAGTGCATAATCTTCTAATAAAGAAGTGAAAGTTTTAATATATAGAAGGCAAAATGAAGCAAACTGGAAATATAAAGATCACTCCGATTTTCACTCGGATTTTTTTTACTAGTATCCCATATTTCCAAGAACCAGGTTGTTCTTGGGAGCTGGGTGGGGAGGCTATTGTTTTATCCACTCTTTCTGGGTTGCTTGCATGGTTCTCAGTTCCTTAGACCTAAGCTCCTGTGGCAATTCTTACTCGTCTTTCTCGGGTTCAGTTGTGGATATTTATCGGCTGTTACGATGATCTTGGCGCCAAAATTGGTGCCTTTTCAATAGGCAGAGTTTACTGAGGTTACCATGGTTTTCTTCTTACTTTTGGGTTCGGTTTAATTTCGATAGTCTTCCCTTAAGTAAAAGGTACTCAATCCTATTTGTGTTCGGCTCTTAACAACTTAGACTATTCAACTAACTGAATATGTAACTAACTTAAGCATCGAAGTGTATTGGACACAACATTAAACCGGTGCTCAAATTCCCCATTTCCAAGTCACTTCAGCTTGCTACTTGACACTCCCTAATAATCAACTTAATCAACTACACTTTGACATCGGTGGAGACGAAAAGGAGAAAGTAACACATTAGTTCTTCCCATGTGTGAACTATTCCAAACACTTCGTGCAGTGATGACTCCAATAGGGTTATAATGGTTTTCTTCTTGCTTTGGGTTTGGCTATTGGCTCTATTGTAACTTGGTTTTGAATCTTTTGATCCTTTACACGACGACTTCTTGTACGAACGTGAACATTTAGCCTTGCAAAACTATAACTATGTACCATAAACAACTTTCAAAACCTTTTTCTTAGAATCCAAGGACACGGATGTACAACCTATAGAACAGATCTTTCCAAATAAGGTTCTTACGAAACAAATTTTTCGGTCGTTTTCCTAATATTCTCTAGGTTTGAAAAGGAAAATTTTCTTTCTTTTTTTGTTAAGCTACAAGTGCAACCTCTCATGGAGACAAAAGTTCGACTATAAATACTAAAAAGAATGAATCTAAAGCATAGAATTGAGTAAAATCCAAACAGCGATGTGATCCTATTACCCTCAAGAAATGGCCTGAAAGTTCAGAGCCGTGAAAAATATTGGTACAGAGAAAGCACCAATGGGAGCCGACATGCATTGTAAACTTAACTCATGCTTTTGATCTGAAAGCTAGACCAGTTTCTACCTTTTTTATTTCGAAGATTAGCATTCTCCACATCTTCAGAACGAACATTTCAGCTTCTTCATCCAAAATTGACTGAAGCAGCTCCAGCATTTGAGATGCTTTTACGTGTTCCTGAGTGCTCGAAACTATGTAATCGACAAGAGTGGTTTCCTCTTCCCCCAAAAACTCTGTTATCTTTTTTGAAATCCACGGTCTCATTCTCTCATGTAGTGCATGCTGCAAATGTGCATAACAATGCATGAGGGGAATATAATAGAAATTTAAGTTTTGACCATGTTCTAACATTGAAAACTCAAGGTAAAGAGAATGAAATGAGAAAAGACTTGTCAACACCCTAGATTGACAAGCAATGGGACGCAGTTATATCCTTACTTGTAGTATTATTAATGCTATGCACAACTACAAACGTATCGACTTTGCAATTAAAATTCCACGCCACATAATCTTTAAAACATATGACACCCAAGTTATACATGTAACACAGTTTCAAATTTCAATGACCATAAAATATTAAGAAAAGAAAATCAATGAGACTCCGTACCTTTTCATAAATTACCCAATTTATGTCGTATGAGAATAATTCCTCCTTTGTCTTGGGAATCATATCAATCAACTGTTTTGCGTCCAACAGCTTTTTGTTGTCTGGTGTTTTTACTTTATCCAAAACACGGTCTCGCTCCCTATCTCTGTCTGTTGTCTTGTTCTCATCTTTGCTGCGATAGGTATCCTCATCATTTCGGTCTCTATCCCGCTGACTAGATCTTTCACTGGGACGCCTTCCTCGCTCCCTTTCACTGTCAGGCTTCTCTTCTTTAGAATTAACATTTGATATACGTTTTGCAAATTCGGCTGCTGCAGCTAAATTTGGTGGCAAAGCCCCAGTACTAGAAGGCTGCACAGCTTGGAGTTCCTCAGCTGAGTAATCAATTGGAACCAGTGGCCTCATTTTCTTCTCTTTCTGTGCTTCATCATCCTCCTCGTGAAAAACTGAAGGTACAGTAGTCCGTTTTCCGGAACCTACTATACCAAATCCTAACCTTTTTGCAGGCAAGCCTTCACTCTGACGGGTCTCTGCTGGTATTATATTTAATTCATCACCGCTACCATTTTGTAAAAACCCGTCCCCTGTCACGTACCAGATGTGTCATTCAAATAATAGAATAGGCAAGTACAAGGTAATCAACATGTGGATTAAAAAAATAAACAGACTTCTTAAAGTTTACATGCAAGACAATTACCTATATGGTTCTCACGGCCCGAGTCAAGCTCAGAATCACATTCTGAAGTAAAAAATTTAATATCGTTAGCAGGTTCTTCAGGAAGAACAATTTTCTCGTTGATATTCATCATCTGACCAGGTAGAAGTTTTGGTGGATCTCTCTGTTTTTGCAGCTGTTCCTCCTCGGCCTTTCTTTTGGCCTCGGCAATTTCTTCTTCCTCTCTCTGTCTATCAACTGAATCATCTTCCTTTTCTCTAGACCTCTTCTTCCTCTTTTCCTCCAGAGCACCTCTGCGCCATTTTCTTCTTGAATCATCATCCTCATCATCTTCATCATACAATATCTCTTTCTTCCTTTTACGCTCTTTCTCTTTCTCTCTCTCCTTCTCATACTGCCTCTGCTTTTCTCTCTCTCTTTCTCGATATTCCCACTCTTTAAGACATTCTTCATACTGTCGCTCAATCTCCTCAATCTTTCTTCTTTGTTCCCTCTCTTTCCTAGCTCGTTCCCGCTCTGTCTCTCTTTCATATCTCTCAATTTCCCGCTCCTTGTCCCTTTTTAAATCTCGCTCCCTGTCTCTTTCTCGACTTCTCCTGTCATACCTTCTACTTCTATCAGGTGAGCTTGTTTCAGGCTTGTCGTGCTGCTCACTAGTTTGTTTATTGTCGCTAGTTGAATCATCATCATTTCTATCATCAGCTGCATCTGTAAGAGGTTATGAAAATTAAGCAACCCAGCACCTACACTCTTTAAATTTAAGAAAGAAACATAAACTATTCGTAATGAATGAAGGACCACGCTATAAACAAATATTGTATATCTACTGTGCAAACTTAGTTAGTTATTCTCATACTACAAAGAGAAGATTTGAACAACCAACTTATGAACACTCACCACTTTTCAAAATATCAACGTCATATTCACCATCTTTCAGTTTAGCAGATGGCTCTGCACTTGAATTTCTAGAAACATCAGCAGATGTCAGTAGAGGAGGTGGTGGCAGAGGTCTAGACTTCAACCTCTCCTCCAGAGCATTTGTGAGCTTTTCTAATGCCTCTCGATCAGCCTCTCTATCTTCATCACTTAAAACTGCAGAACAGGCAATGTCATGATCTTCCTTTTCCCCTGAATCACGGTCCTCTTTTGAATCCTCTGCAGGGGGCTTTGAAGTTTCATTTTTTGCCACATTCGCTGTATCAGCTTCTTCTTCCTTAGTCTCTGAAACCTGTGTTTCTTTCAGTTTTTTTGAATTCTCTGCTTTCTTTTCAACATAACGCTTCAGATAATCTCTTGTTGCTTGAGTACCTTTTAGCTGTTCATTTAAAAAATTGTGATAAAATTATATTAAAAATAAGTTGAAACTTGAAAGTTGTATATAGAGTAAACATTTGACACCATAAGAAAGAAAGAAAGAAAAACAGACTAGCTTAACTTACTATTTGTTTTACTCCCCATCAGAAACAAGTTTAACTTTTAATTTAATGATACCAAACAAAATAAATATCCATACCATTTTTATGTTGAAAAAAAGTAATGCTATTATCAAGAAGAAAGTTATCAATCCATAATAATAGAACTTGGTAGGGAGGGGGAAAAATGCAATATAGAGGACAACCTTGATTATGACTGAATTTTCAGCTCATACAATAACATCACAACAAGATAGATCGATAAAAATAAAAAATAAACAGAATCCATGAAAGTTTAATCTGAAAGTCGCAGCAAGGAAGCTGTAGGATAGCAAAAAAAGAAAAAACAAACGAACTGATAACTGTAATGTCTGTTTTTAAGAAGGAATGTCAAGATTAAATAAATTTTCAAAATAGCATCTTAAATGGTAGAGCAAGAGTGTACCCAGATGTTTTGTAATACTTGTTAGAAAGGTAAGGATTTGGAAGAAGATGAACATTCAAAAACAGAAAATTTTAAATTTCTTGATCGTCAATGGAAAGGCCGTGACACATCTTAGAGATTCAAATTACTGTGATATGGAAGATGTTAATTCAAACAAAACCAGTAACTTACGTAGTAGATTATAAAGATCAAATTATTTAATATTAATAAAATCAAATAGGATATCTAAGCAATAGTAACAAATTCCATCATACCACTAGCTCTTGTCCATCAATGTTTAACTTCGTCAGTAACCGTAGAGCACGAAGAACACCTTCAGCAGACTCAAACTCGCAGAATCCAAAGGTTCTGGGAGTTCCATCTGTAGGATCTTGGGCCCGTTTCCAACTCTTCACTGGTCCACATAGCTAAAAGAAACAGATGGATATTGATTATAGGTCACTAAATTGAAGATAATGAAAAATAACAGAAGAAATGTAACATGGAGAGTGATTAACCCACCTGAAGAAGGGACAGCATGAAATCATTTTCCACTGATTGAGCAATTCGGCCAATATAAATTGTAGTTTGTGGTTTTTCCGCAGGTGTGACACTTGGGAGAATAGCAGGTCTAACCACAGGAGGGATGATTGGACGAACACCAGGAATCCCTGGAACAGGAGGCCGTGGCATTCCTGGCATCATGCCCATAGCACCAGGTGGGCGTGGAGGAAAAGGTGTCCGAATCATACCATGAAATGGAGAAGCAAAACGAGGAACTCCTGCACAAAAGAAAAAAAAAATATCTTGCCAATGCATCAGAAAATGTTGTCGGACTACTCAAAGCAGTGCTAAAAGTACATAGAATAATATTTTATTAGGATTCATGAATCCCATTACAAAAGTCCCAAGTAAATAAAAGATGGCAGCAAACGAATGGAAGCTATCACCTGCTGAATACATTATCTAACCTAATGAAAACGTTCAAATAATAACACCAAATTCCTTGAACTGTTACGTAAGTTGTCTTACCTTACTCTTGCAGCTTTATCAAATATCCCATCCATCAAAAGCAGAATTTTATGATTTAAGAAGCACAACACTTCGAGCAATTCATACACACAGATAATCGATTGAAAAGGGAATAAATTAATATGTTCTCAAAACTCACTCTCAAATTTCCAAGAGATCCGACTGTGTAGCATAAGGAATCAAAGAAAATGTCAAAAAAAATATAATAATTAAGAGAATTTGATACCTTAGAAACAAGGAGAACGAGCACTCAGGTGGTTAACATGGTCTGCTTCTGGCAATTCAAAATCCAGGGACAGTATCCAATATAACTACCAGTAAAATCCTAGTAAATAAACAGGACCAGCCGTATATTATGTAGCAGGGCAAAAGGAAAGGCTCTTGAATACTATACTGCTTGTATTGTATACCAAGTTCTCTATGGGCTTAGAACCAGAACCCCATTTAAAAATAAAGAAAAAAAACCATGCTGAAAGCAAACAAGAATAACAGGCAAATATGAATGAGCATACCAAAAAAGGAGTTGTAGTTGGGAGTTCTCTAAGCAATATGAAGCCTTCCAACCTTTTTCACCGTATTCAATCAAGAGACAAGACGCTGTAGGAGAAAACATCCTGTCATCGATACCCTTCATCTAACCAACACGAAAATTTTTAATAGACTCCGAACTTATTTTGTAAACTCTTTCCAAGGCATCATAACATGCCCTGAACTCTTACTTTGTGTCAACACTTTAAAATTATGTACTTTCTAGTCAAAATCACACGGAAATGAAGGTAAATGTTTGTTCGAAGTCAGACTGTGTTCCAGTTGATAACGAACTTAAAATGAATGCAGCGGGCGCAATTGACAGCATCAACAAAGAGAATGCTAAACAAAATTACATATAACACAGCGGCAATCATATAGATTAAAGAAACTATTCAAGATTATTACGCAATCACATTGCCAATTGAAGTGTTAGAACAATAGGGATAAAGAAAACCCACCAGGGGGAAGAAATGCTCCTTGAGGAGTAGCAGCTGCGAAACCATTAGGCATAGTGGCGTACGGCCTCATCGCCGGATTTGGAACCTGACCCGGTGGAACTTGATAAGCCATCATCTGCTGAGGCGCTGGAACTGGAACAGCTCCCGTAACGCCACTTGCCATACCAGGAGCAGGCGCCGGAACCGAACTAACACCGGGAGGCTGAACCCCAGGGTTTGGATAGCTTGGGTTCAGCATGCCAGTGCCAGGCATAGGCGAGAACTGATGAACTCCGAGAGGCACCGGCCGAAAAGACGGAGCCGTCGGAGGAACAGCCACAGTACCGGGCGGCGGGCCATACGATAAAGGAGGCGGTTGCAGCGTGGACACCAACGGTGAATGCAAGGTAGGGTTTATTCCAACAGAAATCGGTGCTGGTGGTAACGATTGCGTAGGAGGAAAAGAAGCAGCGGCAGATTCAGGTTTCTTGGCCTGTGGATTGGGGTTTTCCGGCTCAGCAACTTGAGGATTTGAATCGAGGGTTGCAGGGGAAGAAGAAGAGTCCGCCATGGAAGAAGAGAAAAGATCGGGAGGAAGTCGAAGGCTTCCAGACCAATCCTTCAGATTTTTGTGCCCTAGAGAGTGAAGGTGGAGGAGGGAAGGAAGGAAGGAACCGTAGAAACGATCTCGGAACCCCTACAGAAGCACGAGGCGAGGGAGATGAAATTGCCTGTTTCTCTTTCAGCGGGTGAGTCTAGCAGGTGACGTATCATTGGTCCACGTGGTGACCTGCGTCACCTACATGGTTACTTTAGTAGATTTCAGTCCAGCATTAAACTGGGCTCTATAGTGAGGAAGCCCGTTGTATTTGGACTCGTTAGGGCCTCGAGGCCCAATAAGCATATTTTCTTACTAAGATGTCTCCATCATTTATTATTATTATTATTTTATTTTTTTATTTTTTTTAGGAATTGTGGGATTTTTTTTTCTATTTTTAAAAAAGAATATTAGTTTTAAATAATTTTTAATAGATAAATTTAATTTTGAATATAAATTTTATTAAAAAATATAAAAATTCAAAACAAAATAAATATATATATATATATATATACACACGCATACGTAGGTAAAAGAAGTCAAACATGGATTTAAAACGGACATAGAAGTACAAAAATTTTCGGGGAGTCAACGTCAGGAGCAGTTACAAAATAACATGAGTTTCGATGTAAATAATATTAAAACGACATAGATGGAAAATACTCGATCTAAAAAGTCATTGCAGTCGCCGCAAGTCAACATCAAAAGCAGTTATGAAATAACATGAGTTTCGGTGTAAATAATATTAAAAACATATATGGAAATGCACAGCTCCATACACTCTTGTCATGAACTATAGCTAGGGTGAGTGTTTCTATCGCGGTTTACGTGAGTAGATCCTCAAATATCAACGCATCTCTTATCTAATATCCTTCCACTCGACTTAATCACCTCCATGACCCTTAAATCCCCTGAAATATGACCTAACTTTATCCGTTCGAGCACACGATCATCACTCAATTAACCACCTCCACGACTCCTAAATCACTTGAAATATGGCCTAACTTTCTCTGTTCGAGCACACGATCATCACTCGATTTAACCACCTCCACGACCTCTAAATCCCCTGAAATATGACCCAACTTTCTCCATTTGGACACACGATCATCACTCGATTTAACTACCTCCACGACCCCTAAATCCCCCTGAAATATGACCTAACTTTCTCCATTTGGACACACGATCATCACTCGATTTAACCACCTCCACAACCCCTAAATCCCTTGAAATATGGCCTAATTTTTTCGGTTCACGCACACGATCATCACCTTACATTAGGCTGACACCCACAACGTACGACAACGTCTACAACATACTTTTTATATATATATATATATATTTTTTGTTCGAACTCTCTTTTTTCTCGAAACAAAAATAAAAAAATTATTAGCCCTAATTTTAATAAACCACCGTTCAATATTGAAGGAAAAAATTGAATTTATTTTCTTAAAAAAAAAAAAAAAAAAAAATCCATGGTCATACTAAATGCATGGAGAAAGAAAATTGGAATGAAAAAAGAGAAAAAAAAGACCAAAAGGTCAAAGAAAATTTGTTCGGCTCTGAACGAGGGTTAACTGAGACTGAGAGAAGGAGAATCGAAGCAATAGCTGAATTCTCTGCTGCACCAGATGCCTATTCATGGCGATGGAGCAGGATGAAATGACGAAGAAGAAGCCTCTGGATATTGACTGGGACAAGCTGTTCGGCGGCAAGGAAACGGAGCCTCCACTGGAAATAATCGTTCAGCCCTCAATTACGATCTCGAAGCACTTTGAAATGGACTCCGATCGCCAACATTTGTTAAGAGATGAATGCCAGAAGCTTAACGATGCCGAATTGGATGAAAAGATTCGCCGAATGAAGCAATTCTACGAGACCAAGGCTCGCTATTTGCCAGATAAGGGGCATAAGTACCTTCGCAATCTGGACCTATCCATGGAAGAGAGGGAATCCAGAAAGCTCCGTCGAGTTGAAAAGGTTTTCCTGTCATGTTTTGATTCAGAATCTCTTATCAATTATTTTTATTGTTCTTCTTCTTTTAATGAATCGTTTGAACTTTGTTTGGAGTTCGATCATCGAGATTTTCATTCAACATACTTCGATGCTACATATCAGTTAAACTCGATTTATTTAGTTATTTTTTTTATAAGGAACGACAATTAATTATTTAAATCGAATGATATAATCAAAGGAGGGGAAGCCTCCCAACTTCTGACGAGTTACGAAAAGCTCACCAATTGGAAGAGATAGAAGAGGGAAACTGATGAGGTATCTTTTGAGCAAGAACTCGACTAAAGAAGCTTCATAAAAAAAGTATCATAGCCCAACTTCTAGTCCATTCGCGTTCTAAAAATTTAAAAAGTCTTGTTCCTCTCTGACCTTGTTCTTCCGCAAGATTGCACCACCTGCCTTGAGCCACCACGTTGTAACCTTTACTTTCAAGAACCCACAAAGCCAAATATGTGGAAGCTCATATTACTACTGCTCAGGAACATAAAATGATTATCTAAAGGGTCAAAAAGTCTTCAAATCTTTCCTACCCCAGCACATAGCATCCAGGGAGAGTACTCTATATTGTTTCCTCAGTTCCATCACATTATCTACCTCTTCAAGTTAGGAAGAGTTAGATGCCCAAATGATCCAAAGGGGGCATTTGCGCTGAAATCCCACTTTTGGCCACTAGTTCACGACCTCATGTCTGCAACATCAGCAAGGAGCATATCCACCTTGAAATTCAATTGAACCACTCCTCAAATTCCAAGTCATTGAGATCCGTGTAGACCCTTGAGTTTTGCATCTCAATTCTAAATTCCAACTTTGAGATTTGGTATTGAATTTAAGTTTGATCATTTTCATTACAAGGAAGGAATTATCAAAAGAGGTGGCTTTTGGCCATTTGTCTTTACAAAATAGATAGAAGGGACGTTCGCTTTTGGAGTCTAAACTCGTCTGGGGTTTCTCTTATAGTTTTTTTTTTTTTTTTTTCAGTTTTTGTCAGATCCCTTCCGGCTAGAGTATTTGGAAGGTGAAAGTTCCTAAGAAGGTTCGATTCTTTGTTTGGCTGGTTATCCATGGAAGGGCTAACACCTTAGATAGACTCTGAAGATTTTTGTTTCAGTTGGATAGGTCTTTTTGTTGCATACTTTGTTAGAAGGAGGAAGAAGATCTTGATCATTTGCTATGGAGCTGTGATATTGCTCAAGTTGTTTGGATCTCCTTTTTCGTTGTGTTCAATTTTTAGTTTGTCAGACACCTCAAGGAGTTCTCCATCCTCCTTTTCGCTAGAAGGGGCGTTTCTTATAGACTGCAGAGCTTGTGCACTTTGGTGGGATTTATGGTGTGAGAGTAATAATAGAATCTTTTGAAGGAACAAAAGTTCCCTCATTGTGATATTTTTTCACTTATCACGTTCTATGTTACTCTTTGGGCTTTGATGATGAAGGCCTTCGTAATGTTCTGGTAGGTCTTATTTTACTTGATTGGAAACCTCTGCTTTACTTGAGTTCCTTTTGTGGGCTTGATTTTTTTGTATTGCCTTCTATTCTTTGATTTTTCCTCGATGGAAAGTTCAGTTTTTTTATATAAAAAGACTAAGGCCAAGTTCTTGGTGAGGAAGCATATTATTTCATATGAGGTTTTACTCTAACATGGTGCTCATTTAAGATTCTTCTGTTTTTATTATTTATCAGGAAGCAGCTACATGCGAAAATTGCTCACAGCCAACTACCTCAAGTACAGTTGGTAAGGTTTTGAATCTGGCATTGTAGTTCTCTTTTGATTTATTCTTTTTGCTTTATAAACTTGCCTTTAAAACTCCAAATCATATACTGAATAACACTTTGATGGATCTGGAATGGTTGAATGCTTGAATTGTGATGTAGAATGTTTTCATTTATGTGATGCTCAATATAGTTTTCTCTCTAGTATATAACATTCACGTCTCTTTACTTTAATTTGCTGGTGGTGCATTGCTGTTTTGTAAATTTGATGGTGAGATGCTTGATATTCTGATTCACACTATTGCTTTGTTCGTGTGGAGTTCTGGTTTGAAGATTAATTGGGAAAAGTCGGCAATTTGTGGGGTGAATATGGAGGATTCCACGGCTTTTCCTCATCTTCTCATCACCTAATGCAGCTGTGGCTGATTTGTGGGATATGGATGTTTCTCCTTGGAGCCTGGTTTCCAGGTGTTTTAAAGAAGATATTTAGGATTTTAATTCTCTTTTGGGCATTCTTTCCTCTGAGAAGGTTATTCTTCAGCTGATTCTAGAATTTGGTCTTTGGAGCCATCGAGTTTGTTTTTGGTAAATCTTTGGTAAGAAAGTTATGTTCCTCTTCTCCGTTTGAAAAGGACATCTTCATGGTTATTTGGAAATTTAGAAATGCTAAGAAGATTAACATCCTTCGATGGCAATCTCAACACTTCAGAGTCTTACAGCAGAAATTGCCTCATTTTGTTCTGATGCCATTGGTGTGCTCACTTTGTTTTGAGAATGGAGATTTTCTCAACCGTCTGTCTATTTAATTCGTATTAGCTGAATTTTTCAAATTTTCGTAGTTTTCAAGGTTACTTAAGGCTTTTTCGTAGTCTTTTAATGGATAATTTGGAGCAGCTACTTCTTGGTATGTCATTGCCGGCTAGGACGTCTACTATGAATTAATGCAATAAAAGCTGGTCTTTCGGAGCTTGGGATGGTGAGAAATTCAATGGTTTTTGAGAATAAAGATCTTCCTCATTTTCATCAGCTTGATTCAGCTGGGTTCAAAGCCTCTTCTTGGTGTGTTCTTTCCAAGTCTTTTGTTAATTTTTCTTTATTAGATATATATTTACTTTGGGATTTTTTTTTTAATCTTTCTCTATAAGCTGTTCTGTTTTATTTTTTCCATATATATTTTGTATTTTCGAGCGTTAGTCTTCTTTCATTTTCATAATAAAAAGTTTCATGCCTTGTTTTATTAAAACATTAATTGTGCTGGTAGATTGTGTGCATAAATATTAAATTCTGATCTTTGGTCTGATTGACGAGAAGGATAAGTCATAAGAGACATTTTCTCGAATTTTCTAATTGTTTTATCATCACAGAAGTTTCTTATAAAAAAATCCAAAATGTAAAAGGTTACAGTTAGGTTATATGATCCACTACAAAGAAACAGGATCATAATTCAAAATTTGTCAATTAATCATGCCCAAGGGCTTACATCTTTTTGTAGGTTCATCTTATGTAGCTAGTGAAAAGACTGCTTCATCTTCAGCTGATTCATTGTCCACATTCACTTCTTGTTTTTACCAGAAGTTGGAAGAAAAAGTACTTGCTGTGCCATATAAATATCTGTAACTTTTCAATTTCCTTCAGTCTTCTACATAAAATAAATACCTGTAACTTTTCGATTTACTTCAGTCCTTGATGTAATTTTTTTGTGCATTTTAACTTTTTTGAGCAGACAGAATGCAATAGTAGTGCCTTCAGTCAAGATCTATCAATTTTGGGACATTGTGATAATCAGAGACAAAGATGTAATGGTAGATTATCTCCAAAAGTAAAACACAAGGGTCAAGCATCAGCAAGACAGCAGCCATTCAAATGTTCCATTAATCTTTCTACTGATGTAAATAAAAAAGTTTCTTCAGTTACCGCTCAAAATTGTAAAATTCCCGATGATTTAGATTCTCACGTTAGTGAAAGGCTGCCCGGCTGTTTTCGGAAGTAAGTACTTTAACCATCCTTCTTTGACTACTTTTTTGGGTTTTCCCCACTGGAATCTTATTGCTGAGCAGATGTAGAATTGGAAGCTGGCTTGAGAGGGCAGTTTTCATTTTTGTCCTAGTAAAATATACAATTCGTTGGACATGGTTGGACATGAATATTAGTTACATTCGTTGTATGTTTCAGTACTCTATCCATGCATTTAGATGAGCTAAAATGACCTCTTGCATGCAACTAACTTGAATCAGCTATTTAGACCATCCAAATCCCATTATCAAGTCTTTTCACACCCTGATTTTTTCTTTGTAGTTTTTCTCTCCAACCAAATTTCCTACAAAACAGCCCTTACATCATTGAGCGAGCCACATCATTTTAGCATTCCTCTTAAAAGGGATGGCCAAAAAGTAAAATGAATAAAATTAAGTATCCAGTTGAACTAGAAAATGTAAAATGTAGCTCATCTATTGTCATTCTTAAAAGTCCGTGATGTCACAGTTGACCTAAATAATCAGTAACAGTTTAAACTTCTCTCAGTTAGTTTTTCAGGTTGCACTAGCCCTTCCTTGGTTCATGTGCTTACATTATTTTGGCCCTTTCTTTGCAGGAAGGATGCTTCTCAAGTTCAGCATTCAGATAATTCAATGCCCAGAAAGGTACATTTTGAATGCTACCATTTGTTGGGTTTATTTTTTTTCATCCTTGTGGCTTTGATGCATAAGGCAAGATGAACCCTGTTGTTATAATATTCTTATCATTCAACCTAGTAGTTTGGTATAGAGCGTTGTGGGTGGTCTTTATCTCTATGTTTTATTTAAAATGGCTCTCTTAGAAGTTCTTTTTTCTAAATAGAAACTGAAAAATCATTTCAAGATGGCATTTGTGCTGCCCTTATGTTGGATGTTCTTTATGATACTTCGTCCAGTTGATGTGATTTCTCTCTATAGGGGCAGACCATTGTAGTTGTAGACGAGGAGGAAGCTTTGGCAATGAAAATACCAGAGCACGATGACAAATGGTAAACTTAACGTGCTTGTTCTTTAGGCCATTGACATGCAGATTTGCTTGGACAATTTTATGATTCTAGCTTTGATTTTCATTTTCTGGATTTTCAGCATGAAAGAGGCCAAGATTTACTACCCATCGCGGTATACAACACTTATCCATATTATTAATGTTTTAAGTATCTTTTCTTTGAGTTTGCGATTCTATGCAAGAGGTCTTTTACCGTATATTCTATTGACTATTTGCAGGGATGATCCAGAATCCGTTGAAATTTGTTTTGAGGACATAAATTGTCTTGATCCAGAGGGTTATTTGACATCCACGATCATGAACTTTTATATTCGGTTAGTAGAGCTCTATTTTGGACTTGTGGAAGTGATTAACTTGACGTGATTTGAACTCCACATTTTTTTCTTGTCCTCGAAGAACTTTGATATCACAAAAACTCATGGGGTTTACTTTTCTTTTTCTTATAATTTGAAATAAGTTGTTGAACTCCACATTTTTTTCTCCTCTCGAGACATAACTTGGCTTACCTTTCTTTTTCTGGTTTTCTTTTATCTTGTTTTATTTTGAATTTCAAGTATGGGATGTACCTTTTCAATATGTAATGTTTGTCAATGGCGATTTAAGAAAAAATTGGGGACTTTTTTCCTTCCTTTAAGTCCAGGATACGAAAACAATTCCTCCCCACTAAATTTTTTTAAGAGTGGATTTCAGGTTCGATAGTGTCGAGAAAGTATTAGCCCCGTACTCACCTGTTCAACATCTAGAAGTGCCTTGAACCAGTTTTCTAGTCCAATCGAAAAGGAATGACCCATATTTACTCACAAGGATCTTTTGCAAAGGGAATTAGACTTGAGATGGAAAAACCGTAGCCATTTAGCCAAGAACGCTCTGTTAGGGACCTAGGTTTAGTTACTACCACCCACTTTACAAAGTGTGACACTTTTCCTTCTTCAAACCCTTCTTAAGGAAGAACTCTCAGGATCCTTTCAATAGACTTACTCATGGTCACCAGAACCCTAAAAAGGGACATAGCTCGAGAAACCACTCAACACAACTTGAATAAGAGTAAGTCTACCCCCTTTCAAAAATAACTCTTCTTCTACAAAAGAGATTGTTGCAAATCTTGCTCACCGTCGGATCCCAAAATAAATTGTTTCTAGAACAATGACCTATAGTGAAACTTAATTAAGACAAAAAGAAACAACCCAACCAACTAAACTTAACTTCATGGCAGTTTAGACCCCAGAGTTGACATTTTATTCTATTGATATCAGCCCTAACATAGCTTCAAAGGAAGCCAAAATTTGTTCAGATTTATGAAAGAGTCTTCATTGCAAAAACAAAAGAGTATTGTATCATCAACAAACTAATGAGAAAGAGAGAAATCATCGCTCCCAACCTTAAAACCTAGTACACAACCCCTCTCGATAGCCTTCTACTGATAATGTCCACAGCCAATAAGAAGAGGAAGGAAAAGAGAGGACCCTGTCTAAGGCCTCTCAAAGCATGAATTCTACCCTTAGGCCTTCTGTTGACGAGGATAGAATACCTGACCGATCTCACACATCTCCGAATCACAATCTCCACTTAAGCCCAAACCCTTTGCAAGAACTCCAGCTCACCGTTTCCCTTCTAACCACCTCCACAAACTCAGCCTTAACTGAGAGACTCCTTAAGGGCCGCACATGTTATATATGCTGGATATCATTGCTATAGTCTGTTTATCTTTCCTGTTTCATTTTTTTTCCTTTTTTTTTTAGTTGAACTTTTTGGTATTGATACAGTTTGTGTTCCATGGGCAACTTCCCTCCTTATGTAGATATTTACAGCAGCAAGCATTTTCAACAAAGAAGGTGATATGCAATTATCACTTTTTCAATACCTATTTTTACGAAAAGCTAAAGGAGGCTGTATCAAATAAGGTAGTCCTAATTCCTATACACTTATCAAGGGTGTTTCAATTCCTTCACTTCTTAGTGATTGTTTCATTTTTTTCTCGAGAGGAATCTATAATACTATGGTGCCACAGTTTCTGTTAACATACCCCCAAGGTGAGGCCAGAGTCTGCCTAGATGCATAATTTAAGGATCAATAACACATTTGTAGAAGATAATAACTTTATTATAAATATAGAAAATTATTACGTCTTGTATATAACTCATTTATAAGAAAAGGAGGCAAAGAAGAAGAAATTGTAGATTTTTTTGAGGTAAAAATTATACTTGCATTTAGCGAAAGAGGGGTAAAATATTAGTGTGTGTAAAGAAATATGTAAGCTTTATTGTGATGCACTAAGGCTCACACTGCCTTGTCAGACATGAGGCATGTATCTGCCTGACACACCTAGGTGTATGGTTTATAACCTATTTTTATTGCTTTTATACACTTTATTTAGTGGATATGGAAACGCACATTGGCATGTGATGCAAAATGTTATGGTTACATGACCTGTAACATATATGATGTTATATCATATGCAGAAAAGTTGAGACATATAACAAAGATGTCAAACCCACACCCAAAATAGCACCTTAGGATTTTCGTTTGGGAGCAATATCATGCCTCATCTTCCTTTATAAGTCGTCCTTATCTTTTCATGGTTAATGAAGTTATTCTTGATTTTGCATATTTTGACATGGTAAGGGGAAGGATCGAGAGAATTTTTTCGTCAAGTTCAGAAGGTGGTGGAAGGGCATTAATATATTTCAAAAGGCATATGTACTGATTCCAATCCATGAGGAGTAAGTTTCTATCATCAACTCTTTTATATCTAGATGTGCAATAACTTCTCTCTGAGTTAATGCTATTATTTATTTAGCTGTTCTCGTTCCCCGTGTGTGTTGAATCTCATCACATTGATCATTGATTGTGCTATTTATTTCCTGTAGACATTGTCTGTAACTTTTCAATTATTCCTGTTACTGGCCACGTTGGGCTGGTCCCATGGCCAAAGGGCGAGCTTCAAATCAACTGCCTTGATCATCTAGGATATTATGTCCTATGTGTCAGTCTTGGGCTGGTCGGTTTTAAAACGAATCCTGTATGTTGCCCAGAATTTTGATTTGATCTTTTGGTTTGTGATGTGTTCAGTCTCCACTGGAGTTTGGTGATTATATGTTTTCCACGTAAGGAAGATGAATCCGGACCCATTATACTTCATTTGGATTCCCTGGGACTTCACTCTAGCCGATCAGTTTTTGATAACATCAAAAGGTATGTAAGCCCCCAACCATTTCTGGAAATTTTTTGATCACCACCCACGTTGGTGAAATTTATATTATTGTCTGATTTGTTTTCTGGACCTTCTTTTAGATATAATGTTAAAATGTTCTTAAAAATGATTAAGATCTAATTGAATAAATTGTGATCTGTAGCTTTATAAAAGAGGAATGGTGCTACTTGGATCGAGAAGTTGCTTGTTTAGATCTTCCAATGCCATATAGAATATGGAAAAATATCTCTCGGAGAATTGAAGAGAAAATAATCCAGGTAGTCTCCTTGCTCTTATTAGTTATGTTTTCTTTCATGAACTCAATAATTTAAAATCATTTTTTTGTATCTTGGATCCCATCACCAGGTTCCCCAGCAAAAGAACGACTATGACTGTGGTCTCTTTGTTCTATACTTCATCGAGCGCTTCATTGAAGAGGCGCCTGATAGGCTAAAAAGGAAGGACTTGGATATGGTATTTATGCTTATGAATTGATTTTGATAACTCGAACCATGCTTCTCGAATGCACGATTGACATTACATGACATGATGTGGTGTTTTACTCATGAAATCTCAGTTTGGCAAGAGGTGGTTCAAACCCCAGGAAGCTTCCAGCTTGAGGACGAGGATAAAATGTCTGCTCAAAATAGAGTTCCAAATTTTGAAAAGGCAATGCCTTGCAGGTTCTGTTGATAGCTCCTCCTCAGATCATGCTCCAAAACAATGAATTAGCAGGTCGTTTTACGCAAAATGGTGCACATTGTTACAATTAGTAGTTCACTTGGGATTCACTCGGGCTGTGCTGTCGTCAATCGCGCTTGGCTAGTGAAGCTAAAGCCATCTTACCGCTCTCGTCCTAGCAGCCAACTGATCTTAGGTATGATATTCGAAAAAATTCAAAAATTTAAATCCTCAATAAGTGTTTGCAATAGGTTGAAATCATGTCGTGGGTTGTTAGGGTCGCATCACAACACTAAGAAATCGAGTTAGACGAGCTAGGAAAGGCTATCACTTGGCTGGAATTCCCCGTGAACATATACCTTTGGCTTTAGACCATTTTGTGGAGTGGACTTGGGGAGTAAATTTGTTCATAGGATCGTTCTGTTTCTTTTGTGAGTGACGGCTCCTACCCTCCTCGCTTGATGCATACAAAAATCAAACCTGTAATCTATGATTCTTAACAATATTATTCTGAAAATACTTTATTAACATCTATAGACACCTTATCGAATCAAATTTAAATTTTAGTTCTTAAACTTCGTAGCATAGTTCTAACTAGTCGATGACTTAACTTAAACGGAACGGAGTAATGACTGAATTGTTGTTTGTTGTTGCGGATCGGTGACAGGTCGATTTGTTTTATCACATGTCAAATAAGTTGACATTTTTAATTTTAATTTTAATTTTGAGTAAAAACTAAAGTGAAAATGATGGGAATTTATGAAGTGATTCCTCTATTTTGCTAGGTCAGCTCACTTCCTTTTTCTCAGGGTTATCCCATGCCACCTTTCATTTCAACCATCTCCAAAATTTAACTAAACTATTTTTCCTAAAGTGGCAAAGGTGGTATAAATCTTTCCATCTTTCCATTTTTCAATTCGATCTGATTTATTCATTCGTCGATCTGGAAGGAATTTATTGTCAACTTCTTTCGGATATGAATCTATCTTTGAAGTTTTTGTCTAAAGAAACGCATGGAACCTTTCAACGAGATAATGTTGTCCATTGAATCTACGAGAGAATTTGTAAATGTATTTCTACATTTGAGTAGGTTTTTTTTATTTAACATTTGAAACATAAAATTTTACCGAAAGTTTCAATTTTAACTTATTTTCCATGTAATTAAAACGAAATAACATGTCACCAACCTACGTTCATAGATAAACGCTCTATTAGGCTAAGGTAAAGTTGAGGGCTATTTTAAAGTCTTTTGCAAACCTAGAGCATCTCTTCTGAAACATCAAGTACCAAGTAGTAATAGACATCAACTTCTTAGGGACTAAAAACTCATTTGTTCCACAATCAATAACTTAATGACCTTATTGTGCCTGTATGTAAGCATACAAGAGAATTGTTCAGTTCTACGCAAAAGCAGGCAACATAAAGTGTACTGCACCATAAGAGTGAAAGAAGTAATTTTGTATTAATTCAGTATACAAAAATGTAAGAAACTAAGAGTACAATGAACTTGGGATGATAACTAAAAACTAAGATGATGCAACACAAAATTCAAGATAAAGTGTACACTTCAGAGGCCAAACGTCTCAGGCGCATAGCTTTCTCAGTCAATCACAGCGCTAATATGTCAAAGCTCTAATCTAGTCCCTGCATTCCACAAATATGGATATTAATCTTCTATAGGAACAAAAACTAGCAAGAGCAGAGTAGAGATCATTCCACAACTATTCCCAATGATGAACTTTTTCCCAATGTCTCATTCAATCATGTGTCAATCAAACAGTAAAAGAAAGATGAATTACAAGCTGATATGACAAGTATATGAAAAATAGTAATGGCCATGAGATTCCACGATTGGGGAGGAGAATGGAACACACTTTATAAGGGTATGGAAACCTCTTCCTAGCATACACGTTTTAAGAACCTTGAAGGGAAGCTCGAAAAATGATAATAACCATGAGATCCCACGTCAGTCTGGGAGGAGAACAAAACACTCTTTATATGGGTGTGGAAACCTCTTCCTAACATATGCGTTACAAAAACCTTGAAGAGAAGCTCGAAAAATAGTAATAGCCATGAGATCCCATGTCGGTTGGGGAGGAGAACAGAACACCCTTTATAAGGGTGCAGAAACCTCACCCTAGCATATGCATCTTAAAAACCTTGAAGGGAAGCAACACCCTTTATAAGGGTGCAGAAACCTCACCCTAGCATATGCATCTTAAAAACCTTGAAGGGAAGCTCGAAAAATAGTAATAGCCATGAGATCCCATGTCGGTTGGGGAGGAGAACAGAACACCCTTTATAAGGGTGCAGAAACCTCACCCTAGCATATGCATCTTAAAAACCTTGAAGGGAAGCCCGACCCTTTATAAGGGTGCAGAAACCTCACCCTAGCATATGCATCTTAAAAACCTTGAAGGGAAGCCCGAAAGGGAAAACTCAGAGAGGACAACATCTGCTAGCGGTGGGCTTAAACCGTTGCAAACCAGCTACCTTTTTTTCATGAATAAGAAAATCATCCAAAATGATTCATACTTGCTGAAAGCTAGAGTCGGCTAAGGTGAATAGTAGAACAAATTTTATTGTAGGAGAAGAACAGGAATGACTAATGACTAATGGCTACTTCACTTGAGGAAGAAAACCATTCAGAACGATCCATACTTACCGTATGTTACAAGTTCAAGAATATGAATGGTAGAACAAATTTTATCATCGAGGAATCTAAAACTTTAGCAGCATAACAAAATCTAAGAATCACATGACAAAGGCAGGAGGTGTAGAATAACAAATACAAATCAGTTAAGCATTAAAACAAAAAGATTTTGATAAAACTACTTAGGCTTTTCTATCAAATCAAAACTTCAGTTGCTACCACAGGCAAAAACCATTTGGTCCTAGCCGTGACAATTACGGAAGGCATGAAAATCTTTACCAAAATGTGGATATTCCACAATAACTGTGAAACAATGGATTCACTAGCAGAAAATAATACCCAAACTCCAAAGTTTAATTCCTATCAAGTCCTTTGACTTCAAATATTGAAGCCAGTTGTTTTGGTGCCTCATGAAAACCCAGGTCGGTCCTCCACTCATCCGACTAGAGGTGTGGATAACGAGGCCATCAGGTAATAAAGTTGCATTTAAATACTAAAAAGCTAGGCCAATAGGAAGATCTCAATAAAAAAAACACCAAAGGCAGCAGAGAAATCCAAATTTAATGAAACATATGACCATCATACTGCAGAGCCATTGAAAAGAAATATGACATAGTGAAGGATAAAAGAAAGATGAATTAGCATAACCTCCATTAAACATTTATAAAAATAAAGGGATTTACTTACCAATACTTTATCAGTCCATCCCAGCCACACGTTGCTACTTTACTCTGTTCTAATGGATGCCACTCACAGCCAATGCATACTCCTTCGTGACACTTGAGAGTTCTGAATACCTTGCAGGTTTTCCAGTCCCAAAACCAGCATTTACCCTCACCATCACCAGACATAACAAAGCGTCCGTCTGGTGAAAAATTGACCTGACAAGCGTATCCTGCCACAATGTGACCAGCAAACCTCTTTTTCTTGTTTAGCTGAAATCTCTCCCTAGTGCTATAGATAAGAATTTGATTGTCTAAACTCTGTGCTGCAAGCCAATTTGTATTGGGGTGTACCGATATGGAGGGCATGGAATGCATATGAGGCTCACTAATATACTTAATAACAACAGGAATCCCATATTCCCAAACACGGAGCGACTTGTCGTCACTTGACGTGACAAACCTCCTATTATTGTCTACAAATGTAATGGTATTCACTGCTCCTAAATGTTGATCGTACTCTTGAGTAATCTGCCCTGTGTTCATATCCCACTGAACGATCTTCTTATCACTCATCCCTGCCAGCAAAATATTCTGCTTATCATCATCAGGATTGAGCTTAACTACATAAGGAATTTTCCCGGTGGAGAAGGTTGATATCACTTGCCCTGTTTCTGTATCCCAATACTTAATCTTTTTATCATACCCAGCAGTCAAAAACTTGGACCCATCGTTACAAAACGAAATATCCCGAACCGCCTGAGAGTGACCCATGTAGGTTCTCATACATTTCCCAGAATTGAACACATCCCATATCTTCACCTTGGTATCCATACCCGCTGAAAGAATCAAATGACCATGTTTAGGGAAGAATCTAATAGCAGATACACCCTTTGTGTGCCCGCTCCATGTATGCACCAATCTTTTTGGTATATAACAATGATCATTCGTGGCCTTGGCGTCCTTCGGTGGAGCAATCCAAGATCTACCCTGATAGTCCCTCTCCTCTTTACCATGAAAAGTACTCTTATCTGCTGTAACTTCTCCCTTCTCACCACCTTTCTCTTCACCTTTCTTCTTTGCATACTCTTCTGCGTATTTCTTCTGCTCCTCAGTTAGCTCAGTTTGCAGACCTTCCTTCTTCCCAGACCAAGGGCTCTTCCTATTCTTCATCAACCACACATCACTCGCCGGATTATCAACTTCAGCCGGGTTCAAATCCATTTCCACATCCTCACTCTCACTCATTTCTTTCTTCTTCTCAATCTTCCGCTTCTTTTGCTCATGCTGTGGGATGTTATACACGGATATGGCATCATTCTTCTGCAAAGCCTCCATATCCCCAATGAAATTGTTTCCAGCAGAAGCTGAAGGGTCAGCAGCATATCCATATTTGTGGAAAGTGTTGTACTGCTCATCAAATACAAATGGCTCAATGGACGCATCCTCAACAAAGCCTAGCTTATGGTTTCTCATGCCCTGTGCAATGCCATCCTTCGCATAGGGATGAGATGGTCCAAGAATGGGCGCCCAGAGCTGGTCGTAGGTAGGGTTGAAGGCAACTAGATGTTGAGTTGGGTCTATCGGCTTAGATAATGTCCTGTTGGCGTTGGCCACCGTAAGAGCCAACATTGTATCATCAACCTTGGGCGCCGAGGTTTTGGAGGGGAGGAGCCGCGGCGGAGAGGCTTCCGGTGAAGATGTAAGCTGTTTAGGGCTTCCGTCATCGTCGTTTTGATCTGTGTACGACTGGAGAAGATCCATAAATATAATTCCCCAAAGCTAGAGAGAACAGAGAAACACAAAAAAACCCCTGATTTACACCCTTCCACAGCTCAGACCGAATCTTCCTGGAACTGAATCAACCAAAATCTAGAGTACTCTTCCTTCAAGATCCAATTACACACGGTTCCACAATCCTTCCCAACCAAAGAAAGCCTCTTCCCCCCGCTCCCCTCTTCTGAAGCTAAAGAAGAGATTCAATGGCCGAAACTTAACCGAAAAACAGATTAAAGAAACGATGAATCAGAAAAAGAGAGGAAGAATGAACACGAAGATATTCGATTACCTCATGCTAGGGTTTTAGTTTGGGTTTGCAAGATTGAATCATATCAAATCAAATCAAATCAAATCAAAGCAGCCGGATCGAAATTAACCCGAAACAAAATGCCAAATTAGACTTGAGCTAATCCACAATTAACTTGCAACTCAAATCTT